GGTTTGGCACAAAACCATTAATATGTTACCTTCACTTGTCATAAAGTGAGGGCTTGTGTTCCTATTTATATACATTTTCCATGAACAAAGAATGCAACGTCAAAAATTCGTATGCACAGAAAGAGAAACAAAAGGCTGGGCTGTATTCCCTCACAACGATTCATTTTGCGTGTATGTTACCTTCTCTTGCTGCATATAGATTTGTGGCTGCCACTATGGATTTGATATTTGGTTATATATGCATGTAAAAGACAAAAGTGGAACAATTAATGTTCTGAGTAAAGAAGAAGAAGAAATTAAAAGTGATCAATGGAAGGAAATAACAAGGCATTAATGACAGTTTTGATATGTGCAGTTATAGTAATAGGGAGGGTGAGAGGAGAGTACGATGAAGAATGGAGAAGACGATCTGAGGAAGCCAAGAAGGACGCACGAGAAGGAGAATGCAATATATATCTTGTGTATGTTGATTCGTCTTTTTTTGGGCTTTCTGATAGATGAAAGTACAATTAGAATGTTTGAACCTGATAAGGTGCAAATATGCGTCTGAATCGTGACAAGGCAGGGCTTTGCAAGGGATCAGCAATACCAAAGGGACTTGGCTGACAAAAGAGGAAAACACAAAAATGCGTGCATGGCCACTAACCCCATCGACCAATGCTGGCGATGCGACCCAAACTGGGCCAACAACCGCAAGAAGCTCGCCGACTGTGCCATCGGCTTCGGACGTGGCACCACCGGCAGCAGCCGGCCAAATCGACGTCGTCACCGACCTTCCGATGACAACCTTCTCAGCACCAAACCAGGGACATTACGATTCGCCGTGATCCAACCGCAGCCACTGTGGATCATCTTCGCGCGCAGTATGTTCATAAGTCTGACCCAAGAGCTATGATGACCAGCGACAAGACCATTTACGGGCGTGGAGCCAACGTTCACGTCAGCAAAGGAGCTCAGATCACTATCCAGTTCGCGAACAATATCATCATTCACGGGCTTCACATTCATGACGACAAAAGGCGAAGCGGGGAATGATCTGAGACTCGGCGGATCACTTCGGCATCCGGACGCAGAGCGACGGCGACGGGATATCCATGTTCGGAGCTACAAATATTTGGATAGATCACGTTTCGCTGTTCAACTGCGACGATGGCCTCATAGATGCCATCCAAGTTTCCACAGCCATCACCATCTCCAACTGCCATCTCACCAATCACAATGACGTACGTACAATCCACATCTCTGGTCGTTGGAAGAACAAATAGTAAATCACAGAAGAGAGACTGAAGCATACGATTGTGTTTGTATATAAATGCTTGCAGGTGATGTTATTTGGGGCGAGTGACCGGTACAGAGGGGATTCAGTGATGCAAGTGACGATAGCTTTCAACCATTTTGAGCAAGGATTGGTGCAGAGGATGCCGAGGTGCCCATGGGGTTTCTTTCATGTGGCGAGCAATGATTATACTCATTGGCTAATGTATGCCATTGGAGGAACCTCGCATTCCACCATCATCAGCCAAGGCAACCGATTCATTGCTCCTTCTGAAGCTCCCTGCAAAGAGGTGAGGAAGAGGGATTATGCGCCTCCAGTGTGTGGAAGCGTAGGGTGTGTACAAGGTGCGTATACCCAATAAACCCGTCTAAGCTTGCAGAAAAAATACCTGGCCTAACCCAACAAAAACTGTCCAGAACAAAAATAGGTATTTTTGGGTCCAAGCTGATTCCGGCTATACTACTCTTTTGGTCTTGTCCGAAAAAATATATAATTATATATATATAATATATATTATTTTAAATAATTATCTCTTTTATTTTAGTTTAAAAAATTAGATAAATTAAAAAAACGAAAAAACATAAAAATTATAATTATATGAAAGAACCAAATATCAAAATATAAATTAAATATACTAAATTGTTTCAAGTCAAATTTCTTTCTTTTCCTCTTACCTCTAATTTCTTTTGCAAAAAAAATAAAACTTTCACTATGCTTTCAGTGACTATAAGAATCCGCCAACTATATAAATGAACTAAAGAATTGAACTACCAAATTAGCTCAATTATTAAATGTTTTAATTATTAAATATTTTTTTTACCTCCTATAAGAAATCAAAGGTTAAAGAACAAGACTGCATAAGCCTTGTATATATATGAGTAATTGAGTCATTCATGATAAATTTTTTTCCTCTCACTTGTTTCAAAGCATGATAATTAAATTTTTTTTACATATGATATGAGTAAGATATCACTAAGTTGGGTAGAAAAACCTATCATACCCAACCCATTCTTGCTCAGCCCAAAATGATTAGGGCATCTACGGGGTACCGATTGAGTAGCGAGCTGCAAAATGCAGCTCGTTCATCTTTCGGGTTGGGTATCGGGTACGAGGCTTGCCCTTCTCATTACTACTTATGTGCAGTCCTAATTATATTATAAATGAGTTCTTCTAATTCTAATTAGAACCAGCTTAGTTTTTTGGTTTTTGGTTGGATAATGGGGAGCTTATTAACAATTAAAAAATTGCAAGGATTGTTTTTCACGTTTTCAGCCGTATGCATGAATGCTTGGGGGACTGGTTCAGTAATCGTTTGGAGGGCAAAGTTTCTGTGAATTCTGGGTTGTGCAGCAGAGAAAAAGTAAAGGGACAGGCCGACAATTACCTCGTTCAACGAGCTTCTTATCCGATTGCTCCTCGTTTGTTCGTCGCCATCTTCAACCAATATTGATTATTTTCTTCATAAAGGAAAAGCTTGGGTCGATCTTTTTTAATACTCTAGTTTTTTTTGTGCAATTCATCATATTATTTATGATTATAATGAAGTTTTTCGAGACTTGAAATGGCACGTCTTTTGAAGGTCGCGTTGATTGACGGGGTTTAGCTTGCGACTGATTTATCTCTCATTTTTTATCTTTAAGGCGGCAAGCATAAATGTCTCGCCGAAAACGGTTAAAGAGGTCCAATAGCTGGCCATTGTTGTTTTCGAAAGAGGAGGAGCTCAGGTCGTTCGTTTTTCCCCGAGACGAGGTGACTTTCAAAGTTTGTTCATTTTTTGATATGTTTTTGGTGTCATATGAAAGATTCATGAAGTCGTGTTCCTTTACAGATGGGTAGGATTTGGGGCGATGAACAAACGCTGGCATTTTTATCTGTGCTAGAGGAATTTCTGGTTGCCAATGGCAGTATATGGCGAAGCCCAGGATTCGAAGTACTTACCAACAAGCTGAATGGGTTATGCCGTGCCTCTTATGATGCAAACCATGTGAAAAACAAATTCAGAAATTTAAAACGGCTCTACAAAAATCGCACTGTAAGTTGTTTATGTGTTTTCAAATTTTCTTTTGCCTCTTTACCTTTGCATGTTCTACATTTTGAGGAGACGTGAGGATGGGAGAAATTTTGCTTTGTGTATGGATATGTTAAACGGGTGCAATTGGCTCTTGGTTGCTGTCTTGTTCCATGTTCTGGGTTGTATGTGTCTTCACAGTTCTTCATCCCCTGTTATTGTAAGAGAGGGCTATAATGCTGCAATTTGGAAGGCAGCTTCGGGTCATATATATTTTTGCCTATTTACCTTTGCGTGTTCTGCGCTTTGAGAAGAGACAAGGTGGTAGAAGTTTTGCTGTGTATGGATATGTGAAATGGGTGCAATTGCTTGTGCTTTGCTGTCTTGTTCGGTTGTTCCATGTTCCGGTCTGTATGGCAATTTACAGTTCTTCATCCTCTCTTTTTGAAAGAGTGCGCTGGAATGCTGCTTATGGGAAGGCAGCTTTGTTACATGTTTGTGATTTCCATTTTTTCTGGTTTTGTTTCTGTTTATGGACAATGGCGGCTAGGTGATATTGTTGTGGACAAATTCTCGGATGTTTTGGTTTTTATATAAGCCGGGACTGAAAATGTGGTCAGTATGAGGAGGAGTCTGGGAGAAAGGGGTTGGCAAAGGTTCCTGACCATATTCGAAAAGATTGTCGACTCGGCAGGATCCACCTTTTCAGGTGCAGGACCCTCCCCTTCAGGAGCAGCAGCCTCTTCCGTTAATATGGCGGGATCCTCCCCTTCAGTTGACGAAGCCATGCAGAGGCTGAATAGCTTTGGTGGTCTGGACGCTGATCACTATGGTTATTGCAGCCGGAGCTATTGTGGAAAAGGAAAGCTTCAGAGTGAGCTTTATGAGGATCGATACGGAGGAACGACTAGTTTCATTTCTTGATAATTATAAGATAGAAAGGTCCTGAGAGAAAGGCAGAATGGGACCATTTGACATTGTTGTTAATGTGGGAAGGAATTGGAATTGGAATTGGAGATCAGAGGGGGATTTGTTCGTGAATGGCGCCTTCTTCACTCAGTCTGGAACTGCTACACAATTTCCTTCCAATCACATCGCAGCAAAACCAGGCGCTATGGCTGCCTTCCTCACTCGCTTTGCTGGCGCTCTCAGTTGCGTGCAAAACCAGCCATGTTGATACATTCACATTTCAACGAGGAGCATCGCATAGAATCCCAACCCTTTGGCCCGTGCTTCGTTCAAGGGTCATTTTCATTTTCTTACTCCTTTTTCCTCCTCTCCTTCCTTGTAGCTTACGTTGAGAGCAGAGTTAGAAGTGATTAGAGGAGTTTAGATGTATACATATTTTTAAAAAATTAATATATATCATATATGATAATTGGAGACGATACTTTAGTAGCAAGCATGCAAAATCAATCTGCAATAAAAGCCGTACTCAAACCATGTGTAGTAGGCATTGCTTATTCAGTTTATATCCTTGTATTAAAGAAATCGTAAGTTTGAAGTTGATATTACAGAGCGAGATTAGTAGAATTTAGGTTGCCTCCAGCATCCTGTGTTCGTTTAACATAAGCCGAATGTCAACGACAGCCGATTTTGATTTGAAAGCTGCATCATTTTTAAGAATGGATAGAATCGTCGCGTTACACTCAAAACAGCGCATTATCTTGACAAAGTTGCATAATGGGGTAGAAGGGCAGATATAAGCCAAAATTAACAATTTAGCCGACTTCGTATGTGGATCATACACCATCATAATCAAGAGAAAACTGAGCGCGTCACGAAGTATACAAATCAATTGCGTTTCTGCTCGACTGCTGGTGTCAAACTGATAATTATGCTTTTGTCATGATTAGCAGCTTTGACAGAGCTATTGGAGGTCCTTCAGGGACATCCGATAAAATTGTAAGGAGAAGCTTGGGGGACGGGGAGGGGGAAAGATATCCACTATGGTCACCAGACTAGTGCTTCTCTATGGTGTAAGCTGAGGTACAGTGAATGGCTAACATATAACAAATAGCACACAGCACGTGCCACCGTATCCCTAAAGAAGCTGGAACTTCAGAAGGCTGTCGAGTCAGATCCTAATCATATTAAAACATCACGTCAAAAAACTCCCTTCGTTCAATTGTTCTTCACAAAAACCAGCCTCTGGTCCTTGACTGCTATTCCGCTTTGCTAATATCAGAAGGCCACAAGCAAAGAGTGATCAAAGTTTTGCCTTTAAGAAGGGCCAATCAAAATAGCCACTTCGCAGCACTACAATTATAAAGTCATATTTCGAGAACAGCAAACTCTGCTTAGAAGCATCAGAATACAGAACCCACCTCCCACTCCCATCTTCACCGAGAAGCGGATATCAGACGTGAGAATATAGCAGACGTGAAGGATGCCCAGAAAATGCAAACCCCTACGTGATCTTCAGGAACCGAATTTCTCTAAAATATGACAATAGTAGGCGCATGTCACCCAGCACATAGCCATTGAAAAACATCCAAAGATGACTCCAATTTCCCTTCTGGTCCTTCTTTGCAAACTTGATCCCTAAGTGCTCTACCAGTATTTGTATGAAAGGAAGTTTAATCAGAAGCCGAGGCTGAGACTATATTTTCTCTTTCCCCACAAGCCAGTAATTCAACTTCTTGTTTTCACATTGATCAATTGAATGCAAGAAGCAATAATAATGCAACATCCATCATGTGAGAACAGTAACATTAAGCATCCCGGAATTCTCCATCAGTCCTCATCAACATCAAGTCCACTGATCCGTTGCCGTCTCCTGTCAAATACTGCTTTAAAGGATTCACGCTCAGCCCGGATTCTTTCTTGGAATATGCTATACTTCTTTGGCTCTGCACTGTTATGGGTTGTTGGACTCTCCCCTTCAGTTAATGGATTTGATTTCTGCAAATCAACACGTAATATAACTCTGCTAAAAAAAAAATCTTCCCAAAATAAATAAAAAGTAAACAATTTTGACAATACTCCATTTGGAAAATTTTTCCTAGAAGGAAATAATTTCACAGCAAAATTTCCATTGTCCATTTGGATCACTTTTTTTTTTTTGGGGGGGGGGGGATGATCTACGGTGGTGGCAGGCAAGTGGAAGGTGATGATGACAACAGCACAGATCGGGTGCAGGTCTGGGATCATGCCTGGATGTGTACTTGCATGACGACGTGTATGCACATTCACATGTATCAGTGTCCATGCTCAATGTGTACGTTTTTTTCCTCCTCCTTTTTTTTTTTTTGGGGGGGGGGGGGAGAGTTTGTAATTGTGCGCAACCACGAGCACACATCTGTATGCACAGCAGTATGGTGACAGTTCCTGAGTCTTTTTCAGTCAAGATTTTCTTTGAAAATTGAATAAAATTTTGACGCTATTGGAAAAGGTTCCAAAGCAAAATACCTTTTTGACATGACAAATATTTTCTGTCAAAACAAATGATGCTATGGGGAAGTAGCTATTATAATCACAGTACAGATAACAGCAAACAGAAAGGAAGATTAAAAAACATCCTGAAATTTAAGAAGCAAGATAGTCAAACTGACCAGATTGTACCCAGCACCCGGTCCAATCACTAAAGATGAAACATTAGCCTTCTTTGTAGCGCTTATTGAAAACCCTCTATTGCCAATCTGAAGGAATAATCAAAAACGAGGGGGGATAGATGATGAGACTAAGGATATGTTTATAATTTACAGTGAAAAAAATAAAAATAAAAGGGCAACAAGACATGACATTAGAATTGAAGCCTAAAGAGAAATGCAATGACCTACAAATGTATGGAATGGAATAGACTTCAATATACACTTCAAATTAAAATATCAAAAACCAGAGGCATCAAATACGTATAATACCTCATCAGCCCAATGTACAGATTTTCCTTCCTTGCCATATGCATGAATTAACCCAGAAAGAGCACTAGCGTTACCCTTCCCCACTTCAGTTCGATCATTCTCATCTTCGTCAAACTCTTCTGACCATTTGCTCTTGCCTAATTCCCTGACCTCTGTCGGATGTTCTTCTTCAGCATCCAATCTCTGCCCTTCAAGTAAGGAACCTAAAATATTTTGTTTGAAAAACCAGGGTTGGCGGGTGGGGGAAGGTCAGACAACATGGAAATATTGCAAATAAAGATTTAAGTAAATGTGTTTACTTCATTTAAGTTAACCTACAGCTTATTTTTCTCCAAATTAAAACCTCACCCTCACTCAACAATAATTTTTAAGGCAAATTGCGCATAGCATAATGACTCTTTCGCATCAAACATAATAGAATTACAATATAGTTCTGTCATCATCATTCCAGAACCCTCTTATGGTTGATAGCCAAAGAAAGGAATGCAGCAGCGCAATGAAAGAGTTAGCACGGACGTCAGAAGGTTTAGGATGGAATGGGCAGGTGTCTAATGATTATATAACCAAGTTATTGGGGTAGGTTCATTGGGTAACAGTTCTGTGTTTATGCCTTTCATAGTTAGTTATTTTTAGTTATGTCGTAATATCAGGTTTCTTTGTGACTATTATGTGTGATTATACTTATTAGGACTCTGGTTTAAGGATGGCCTATGAATGAAGTACAATATACAGTACAACGGAGATCTTCCTAGTTCCTGACTTTGTTTAGATTATTATTTAGATTCTGACTAAATATTCGATAGATTCTTCACCTTCCGACACTTTTTCATATTCTAAATCCTCTCTAATGCCACAGATTAGAGGATTAAAACACTGAAAAAAATTAACTTTAAGACACACAGAACTGTATATGTAGCAGGATACAGGTTAAATCACACCAAGTGCAATTCAGATGACGCCAGAACCAAGAGTCAGAAATTACCATCACTAGTATCATCTCTGACGGAAGAGTCAACAGTTTTCTCATCCTCTCTTGCTTGCACCACAGGTAAGGCGTCACTAATATCATCTTCCATATCCATATCTACCTGAAATACATGACACGTGAAACCAGAATCTCCAGTTGAGCCATAAAAAACATGTGTAGTAAACATTGATTCAGCTCAGCTATCCTTCAGCAAGTGCGTGAAGAAAAATATCTTATTAAATTCTGTATCACTGGAAATGATGTTCATACTTGCATGAAAGTTGTCATATTAGTTAAACATGCACGTAATGTTAAAACTAACGAGATCCAAAAGTAAACAAGGAAACTGCTAAAAGATATTAAGATTTTAAAGAAAACAAGCTTGGCAATGTAATGAAAATCAAGGGCAGCTGCCTGTACCAGTACGCAAAAACAAATTTAGACCTGTATCCTTAGAGAAATCTAGAACTAGTACGATAATCTCAAACTACCAAGCAAAACAAAAATAACATGTAAATGCAGGTCCTTTACACTCACTGACTCAAATTTCACATCAAAGATCAACAGGAAAATACACGCATAAGTTATACTAACCTCCAGAATTCTGCTTTCCCTTAAATCATCGCCATGGAATAACGACTGTCAAGTCAGGCCAGTAAAATTGAGATTAGAGTGCATGAAGACTCAAAACTATTAAAAAATAAGTGCTAAACACCATCTTATATTTGGAAATTTATGTCATGGCCTGATTGCGCCAAACATTTACTCCATTTAATCTCAAATAGGCATGTTACATTTACTGACCTTCACATCAAGCTGCAAGTACAAGGATGGAGCTTCTTCCCATTGCCCAGCCATCTTTTCTATGTCCTCTTGTGTAAATCCATGCACATTTCTGGCCGCACAACCCTGAATTCACAACAAGTGTGATCAAATCAACAGCTCATGAACAAAAATAAGAATAAACACAATCTAACAACAATGCTCAGAAGAAAGTATATATATAAATATACGTACCGCAGGGTCCTTGTAATTAGCTTCTAAAATGTAGACTTCATAACCCGATCTCTGAAAAGAAAACAAGAAAACATGAGCTGAGAAAATTACCACACAGAAAGCATTTAGGGGCTTGCTCCAAAATTCACATTAATATTCAGGCATGGGAACAGGCATAAATCATAATAGTTCAGAGGTCATTGAGATCCATGCATACACTTCAAACAAAATGAGCTTTCAATTCAGGCATAACAAGGATTGACCTTCTGTACGAGGCACTTCAGTTCTCAATAAGCAGAGGTACAGTGACTGGTAATAACCTCGACAATGTGGATTTGAAGTTGCATCCATTGCTTTGACACAACTTAAAAAGCAAGGAAGTCTATGAAAATAAAAAAGCCATGGTTCATTCTAGTTATCTACAATTAACTATAGACGATGCCGCTCTGTTAACTTCTAATATAGCCTGACAAACAAACAACATTGTAGAGCACATCCTCACAGAAACTTGTAACAATAAAAACACTTACAATTTTATGTAATTATAGCGCCTATGTAAACCAATCATACTGGCTAAATAATTGGTTTGACTAGAGGAACAGAAATGAGTATTGCAAGCAAGCAGAAACTCAAAAAATAAATCAGACAGTCTATATCAAGCGTTTGCCCTCTCCACCAAAAGTATACTACCAAACTCCACAGCCACTACATCATCTTTATGAATTTAGAATGTTATAACTCCTCCCCTCTTGAAAGAGTTCTTTTTGTTTCACTATTTTACGTCTAAAACTGGGGCAACATAATGGCGCGAATATGCAGAGCTTGAAAAGAGCAGGTAATTTAAAAACTAAGTCTGCAACTATTTCTGAGGGTAAATGAGTTGTTTTAAAGATTTCGTGAGTCCTCTTGAGCACACATGGGAAAGGTGGTGAAAAGAAAGAATTAAGGGTATACCTTTGCAGTTGCCCAAAATTGAGCAAAATCAGCTACCCGCAGATTGCGGTCATCCACTAAGACGAGGCACAAAAACCACCAAGAAAAGGATCAATTGCCGAACAAAACTGCATCTGTAGTTAGTGAAAAGTATGCAGTGCATGGGCACTGCATCACCACTTTATCTAAAACGAAACTACATCATTGGACTTATTAAATTCTGCAACACGCTAGCACAGAACCCTCAGCCATTTTATGTGACTTGCGTGGTTAAGAATTCACAATTAACCTAATCAAGCTTTTCCTTTGTATGTTACTTCAGTTTCCTTATAAAGTAATTAGGTAGATTTAAATAAATGCATCTGCCAATTAAGAATAAGTCTATGAATAGGTGAAATACTATAAAGGAGAAATAAACAAAGAACAAAGTCACCAAGGAGCAAAGAAATCGCAACATAATGCAGTAGTTCCCATCTTGATCAAAACAGTGACCTCAATTGATAATGATCCTCTCAAAAGTGGAGGCAAACTGATTTGGCTATAGTTTGTTTTTTAAATGCATACCGATTATAAAGGTGAAAGCTCCCTCCTCAACATTCTTCTTGAATGCCTTTAACATGCTTGACCGGTAAGCCTGCCACAGACAAAAAAGCATAAGCCAATCCGGACTTTAACTTCACACTTTATCGACTGATGTTATGCAAGAACCAAAAATAGTAAACTCAAAACATAGCAATTTCCCTTTATTTCCTGCACAATCATCTTTATAGATGACAAATGCCAAAAAACAGTAGCCAGGAAAAATCCTCCAATGAAGCTCATTAGCCAAATATCCCCCGCAAACCATCCAAAATGCAAACCAGCTACATACCACTAGTAAGCATTGCTTGCATTGCGTTCACCATCCAACTCCCAGTCTCATAGATCACTGAAATTCTGATTTGAAATGCATCCCTAAAAATACGCAGTGATCCCCACAATCTCTTACCACAAAGCTTTCTCTCAATCTCTTACTGGTCCTCTCCATAAATACAACTGATTTCTACAAAGGAAGATTGAACCTAACTAAAATATTATGGACTTCATAAATTTCATGCAACAAATACTAGCAGATGACCCCTAGCATTTCCTAGTTAAAATTTAAAATGACACCAATAAAGAGCTGAAAACAGTTGGACAAAAATGATCCTCGATACTAGAATGGCCATTATTACCTCCTCCATTTCAGGTTCATAACAATACTCCATGACCTTCTTCATCACAGGCTTCTTGCCTCTGCCTGAACTTGAAGATTTTGAAGCATCATTATCATCACCCTTTTAAAAAGATGAAATCGTCATTAATTTAACCACTAGAAGGCCCTTAGAAACTAATCAAGATTCAAGACCACAACAGGTAAGAATTTGTTATCATAGTGCTTATCCAAAATCAAAAGGAAGGGTGATGATGTTATTAAACCTTTTCAACTTCAGTCATAAAATAATCATCCATAGAGTGAATTCGTGGAGCATCACCACCATTTTCAACCTCTAGATCACGCAACATCTTTGCCAAGTAACTTTTCCCGCTACCTGAAAGTAAAATAATACATCCAGTAACGTTTCCCGCATAAGAAAGTAATCAATAACAAGCAAGGTGACCAAGAAAAATTCCCCATCCATGCAAAGTGCAATATTAGGTTCCCACGAGCAACAAAAATATCTCGAAATTTGCAACGCTTTTAACCTTTCACAAAATGAAACCGTCATTAATGATTACCATGGATGAATTTATATCAAGAAAGGCAACAAACAAATGATTCTATTTTACTCCCAAAGTAAATATTAATATTATTATGCTACATGTTTTCAACGAATCCCAGACAAAAACAGCAAATGAATAGACAACAAATGATACAAAGAAACAAAACTAACCAGGAAGACCTCGAAGAATTATCACAATGTGATCAGGCCGAGTAGTTCGATGTGGGTGCTTAAATAAGTGGGACGCATTGATGCACTTGGGTTTATCATCAGATAATTGCTTTAACGAAAAGGATTTGGCATCTCCCAATTTAGAAGGTTCCTGCTCAAAATCACAAGAAAAATAAATGCCTGTTGGAAAAGCGCGATCATAAGTTAAGATTCTAACAGCAAGTTAGCAAGCATACCTCAAAGGGAAACCCAGCAGAAGATTGTGGAAGAGATTGATTGGGAAACTTGGGTTGAGGCAAAGAGTGAGCTTCAGAAATTTTGGGATATGGTGAAGAAGCCACAGCCGAGGAATTGACAGAAACAGGAAAAAGAGAAGCAGGCACCTTGGGTTGGTTCATTGGTGGTTCTAACGGAAGAGGAGGTGGTGGAGAAGAAGGAAGAGGAGGCTGACCATGAAAGATCCTTGAAGCCTCCATTGGACTCCTATTCTCAGAAAAATTGCTGCTCCCAGGAGCGTAAGAATAGGGACCGTATAAGTTTCTTCCATTCAAATTAGATGTACTACGTTGAGACAGTCCGCATATATCTTGTCGTCCAACTTGTGTTTGATTTCCCTCCTGAGGTGGAAAGTTAAACTCGTGAGGCAAGGTTACATTGCTTGACGGAGCAGAGGAATGAAAATCATGTCTGACTTGAACATGTTTCGGTGTTCCATAAGATAGTGGTAGCAGTTTGTTCGGATCACCATTAGCAGTCTGCTCAGGGTAAGGTGCCGCACTTCCCTGCCAACCGTCCCTAAGAGAGTAACCAGATCCATGTGCTACCCCAGCGTCATTAGCCTGATGCCAAGACATATGCTGCTGAGAAGTTCTGAGTTGACCATGCTGGAACGGCAAAAATTCACCATTCTGAGGATGTCGAACCACATCTTTCTCATCCCTGCGAAATACACCTTGGTTTACGTCCGAATGAAACCCGTTCTGGTTAAGTCTCCCAGGTCCGCCAAGATTCTGCTCTTCAGGAGGTTTAGTAAGAGCAAGCCCATGATCACGAATTAACTTCAATCTTCGCTCATCCTCCGACAAGTTTCTCGCAGGGTTTTTATCGAAGTCATTTAAGAAAATGGCAGAACCGGAACTATCATCTCCTACCCTCGGCCTCTTGAAAGTTCGATCACCCTCATCGACATAATCGTTAGGACGGCCATGTTCATATAGTGGGGGCCTAAAACTGTCCCTAGGGTACTGGAAGGGCGGTTGCCCAGGTAAAGGTTTATCCCAATTAGGGTTTCCATGCCAGAAACTGGGATCAGCGAAGCCATCATTACGGTTCGCAACATAGGACCCATGCATTCCGGGAGGTCCTGGATAGGCTGGTCTTTGAAAGGAGGGATCGCCTTCGAATGGAAATCTAGAAGGTGTATAATATGGGAGGGGCGGAGGACAAAAAGGTAAGTGAGGGGTTGAGCAGACAGGGCAAACAGTACCTTGGATAGGTCTGGAACGCCATTGTTGATCCATTGAGGAGCAACCGTTGAATCTTAAGGGTTTATTTTGGGAACTACCCAGGTGCAGAGCTTTGTTGAGGCTGCAAGAGCGACGAGTTGGAAAAGCCTGGAACTTCCAACACCACTTGGGTCAGGAACAGGCCAGGCCAGACCTGTTTAGTAGCAAGCTAACCTGAATCTAGCCTGGCCTATTATAGGCCTTTTCTTCCAATCCGAGCTTGATCTATGTAAAAATCTAATCTGGCATGAACCTATTTAAAAAACCTGTAATTTTAAAAATTTTAAAATACATAATAAAAAATATATAGGCTAATAAAAAAATAAAAATACATACTATAAAATAATTATCTTTTATTATTATATTTTATTTAAATTTTGATGTCATAAGTAATATTTTAAATTTTAATTACGGTTAATATTATTAAAAACAAGTTATAAGTATATATTAAAATTTAAAATAAGACTATATATAAATACAAAATTTAAATTTAAATTAAGATAAATAAACAAGTCAGGCCAGGCCTGACAAGCTTAACAAGCTTTGGAAAAAGCCTAAACCTGGCCTCTTAGGCTAAACAGGCCATTAAAGAGGCTTAAACCTTTTTTTATTTTGAAACCAATCAGGCATGGTTAGGCCTAATGCAAACCAGGCCATAGACCCCTAACAAATCGCCTGACCTATTTCTACCTCCAAACATCAGTGAAGAAAACACATAAGAATGGTGAATTTTCATATGAAGGCATTGTTCAAAAATATGAATGAGTGAGAGAATGACACAAAAATAATATTTAAATTTGAAATTTTGAAAATTTTTACTTGGTTGTCTTAATAATGAAAATTTCTATTCAGGTAAAAAAAAATGAAAATTTCTATTTAGTTACATATGATCAATTTGGGATTTTGAAATCTGTTAAAAAGATTAAATTGCCCTTTTCCCCCTTAAAATCATCAAATACTTTTACTGGCTGGAGTTCCAGCACCGGCAACCACCGCTAGAATCTAGGCAGATTACTGGTCAGCTGACGACCGGTCACTGGAGGAACTATTTTTTGGGATTTTTAACTCTACTAACATGCTTAACAAGTTCTTTAACGTTATGAACAAGTTTAATATAATAGTTAACAACAGGTTTTTTAGAAAATTCAAAAATTAACGCTTTTACAATTTCAATAATATGATTAACAAGTTTTTTAACGCTATTAAGAAATTTAGTATAGTAGTTAACAACAGGTTTTTTAGAAAATTTAAAAATTGGTATTTTTATAACTTCTAACAAGTTCTGTAATACGATTAACAAGTAACAGATTTTTCAAAAAATTTAAAAATTGGTATTTTTATAACTTTAGTAATACGGTTAACAAGTTCTTTAACCTATTAACAAATTCAGTATAGTTGTTAACAAGTTTTTCAAAAAATTCAAAAAGTGACATCTTTACAACTTCAATAATATAGTTAACAAGTCATATAATGATATTAATAATACTTATAGCACCATTAATAAAATTTCCTGTGAAAGTTGATTTTTTTTTAATATTAGTTCCCTATAAAGATTGTGCAACAAAAATTTTTCATTTGTTAGAAAATCACTATGGTTATGAGAGTTGTTAACATCATTATATGACTTGTTATTAGAGTTGTTAATATCCTTACATGACTTGCTAACCTCGTTGTTGAAGGCGTAAAAATGCAACTTTTTGGATTTCTTAAAAAACCTGTTGTTAACTATTATACTAAACTTGCAAATACCGTTAAAGAACTTGTTAACCACGTCACTGAAGTTGTAAAAATGTTAACTTTTGAATTTCTTGAAAAACCCATTATTGACTACCATATTGAACTTGTTAATAGTGCTAAAGAACTTGTTAACCGATTTATTAGAGTTGTAAAACTCTCAACAACAAAAAAGTTGCCGGTCACTGGAACTCTGATGATCGGTCATCAACTGGCCGCTCGAGCTCAGGCGACGGCAACCCGCCAAACCTCAGTGGTTGCCATTGGCACCAAAACTCCAGCCGACTAGTGAGGGTGCTTGATGATTTTTTTAAAAAAAAACTTAAAAGACAATTTGGTCGTTTCGATAAATTTCAAAATCACAATTTAGTCATGTGTGACCAAATGAGAATTTTCATTATTCAAGTGGCTAAATAGGGATTTCTAAATTTAAGTATTATTTTTGTGTCATTTTTCCAGTATAAATTGCACCAAGCTAGGCTCTAACCAGGGTAACCCCACAAAAATATATAAAATGGTTTTGAAAAGTACTCCTCCCAATCTTGTTTATTTATAAGTTTTAAATTTAAAAAGAAACGTGGTTCATTTTATAAATTTTAATTTGAATTTGTCTTAATATTTAATGTATTTTTTTCTTATGTTACTCTTAATTATTTCTCTCTTATCGCATATTTCCACACATTCTCTTTTATCGTTTTTCTCATTTAGTATAAAAGCATATTTTGAAACAAAAATATCTTACTAACCTATTTATTATTGTTTTAAACTAATTTTAACTAATTATTCGTCATCTGTGAATTAGTTATTTGAAACTTATAATAAGTGCATGAGGGAGTAGTAACTTATATACACTATATGTTTTTGCTAATATTTATCATAAATATTTTAATTACAATTACATTTTTTGGCCTGAAATTACAACTCCTGTGTGAGTATATAAATTTTTTTGACTATTTTTTATCAGTTATTAGTTGTTTGAATACGCACCGAGAGGTACTAAATCCTTTTTACTCAATTCAACCACCACCACCGATAATGATGATGATGATCATCTTTGACAATTAAAAATGATCATATTGAGTTGCATTATAAATTACAATCTAGATATTGCAACTCAAATTTTTCTAAAGTTGTGTCCAGAGTTATAATCAACAAATCTTGAACCCAACCACCAATCAATTTATAGAACCCAAAACAGACACCAAACAAATATTCACCAAGTACTCATGACTTGGGAGTTACTGTAAAAGAAAGAACATTAGGACGAACAGAAGAAACCCAGACATGTGATCTCTGTCCAATTATATTCTCTATTCTGCTTATTTCAACTGAAATAGAAATTACAGACAAAGATAAATTTTCCTCTTCTTTTATTAATTTTTTTTGCTAAGTATAAGTATCTTTTTATTGGACACAGTCCTATTTAAGATGTGGGTACCAAATGTAGACGTATCTTCTAACGAAAATTCAAAACTCAATTCACCACATTATGAAAGATTAATCCTTTCTACTAGAGATTTTTTTTTTAAATGTATGCTTAGACAATCCAAATACGCATCCTGAGAGTAAAGACAGGAAAACGGGCCGAACTTGTCAGGCTAGCCGGTTTAGGTCCAAAAATTATGAGGACCGGGCTTGAAAATTTTTTTCTCAAATAAAAAACAGGCTAGCCCTGTAGGATCGAGGGCTTAAATGGGCTAGCCCGTTTATTTTTTTTTTGTTTTTTTAAATTTTGTTATGTAATTCTAAAATTATTAATTTTTTACACTGTTAATGATATTTCAAATATTTAGTTATTATTATCATTTTAAAATTAAATTTCACAGAATGGTTTGATTTATTTAGTTTTAGATAATAATTTATCTAATTAATTTTTTTAAAAATGAGTTAATTTGGATTTTAATAATGATTTGATTTATATTATATGTGTTTATATTTTTAAACTATATATATTTGATAAGAAAATATTTTTATACTTATATAACTTGTAATTTCATAATTTTGACTAGAAATTATGAGTTTCAACAACATGTCTCAAACTAAAGTAAAATAATAGCTAGACTGTAAAATTTAAAAGTGAAATTCCTATAAAGAAGGAAAACTTGATATTTTTGTTACTTATGAAGAAGAGTAATTGATTATAGTGATAATGAAGTTTTAAAAGATTAATGATAGTGTTTGTTTATTACATATTTGTACTATAGATAAAACTTTTGGATATTATTATCTTGTTAATGAATATTTTAGATGTTCTTAAATATTAATGGATATTTATATATAATGATATTTTGTATTTGTCACTTAATTTTATTCATATTTATGTCTTTTATGAATAATTTAATTAGTTTATTTTTATTTTTTTGATAGAAATGTGAGAAATATATATAAAAAAATTTCTTAAACAGGCCAAAAGCCCATGAGTCCGCCCTTAGCTTGTTAGCTTAAGGATCGAATCTAACAAATTAGGGTATTTTTAAAATTTCTATCCTATAAGACCGACCCTCTTAAATCCGTCAGCCCTGCAAGGCTGGCCCGTATTCCCACCTCTATATGAAAGATTTTATCTTGTTAGGCCTTGGTACTCAAACAAAACATTATTGTGTGTGTGTGTTCCTTTTTTTCTTTTGGTATGGAAATGAAAATAGTTCATATATGTAAGATCTTGAAAGTTATGACAGAAAGAAGGGGAAGAGAAGAAAAGAGGGAGAAAGATAAGGGAGGGGAGAGAGAGAGAGCCTAGAACCAGAATTTAAAATTCTAGGAGAAGAGGAAGTTCAAGGCAAACTGAATAATGCTTTTTATTCATCTCCCCTTTTGGCAGAATACATGTATGATATTTATAGTATGATACATAAACTGAAAATAACTACCTTCTCCTATCCATATAAAACTAACAATGACGTAACTAACGCAGGACACGTGTAACAGTTAATACAAGACACATAATAAAACATAAAACATGTAAAACATAATAATTCATCGAGCAATAAACTAGTAAAGGCTCCTGGTTCCTATCAATACCCTCCCCTAGGAGAACAGTCTTGTCCTCAAGGTGAAGGGAGGGAAATTGGAAGGCCATCAAGTCATATTCTCCCCAATTGGATTCCTCTAGAGGCCACAATGCGTGTTCTCTAAGTTATCATTTTTTGGATCTTCAGTTAACTCTAGGTGCATTAGAGAGGCAGTTATGCATCTATGACCAGGAAAAATTTATCCCCAAATCTGAAAGATAACCTTTATCTTCGCATAACTGCTTGTCAGTTTCAGAAATTTGTGGAGTAGAAGTAACCATTTGGGTTGGTCTAGTAACTAACATCATTAACTACCTTGGAATATTTTCTTTATTTTTCCATATAATTATGATTGTTGTCTGCAACACGTGGC